ATAAAACTGTTTACAGCAGATTGCGTATTTTAAGTACAAACAAGAAGGTCCATTTCCTCTTTCTTCGTCCGCTATGTAAAAAAGCCATATGGGTTTAGTTATGGGATAATAGTTTGAAATAAAAGAAGGCAGAGCTCTGGTATCCGCTTCTTGCATACAAATGTTAACTTTGCTAACTATAAGCTGGTGGTGGATATCCAAAATTGATAACTTTTATTTCACGTTTCGTATGGTAATTGAATATTCACTCTTTAAGAAGCATACAAAAGAAAGATATCATAAAGTTAAACAGTGAAATTTTACCGACAGTGAATGATTGCTATCTGTTCAAAACGCAACCTATGAGTTATACACTGAAGTTGGCTTCAAGCAGGTATCGGCGTATCAATTGCATGTTCTGAGAACTGTAGGAAATAGAAAAGCCACGATGAGTTTACTACGCTTCACATTGTTTTAGTTAAAACCAAGTAATAGTGTAACGCACATTGACACTTGCATTAACTAACTGTTATGTAATTCATCACTCTGAGAGAAGCGATACAAGTAGCTAAACAGTCTTCTATGCCTTTATCATTAAACGAAAGTTTTGATTCGTACTCTGGTGGATTACCAAGCCAGACTGTTTAAAAGTTGACTACGATATTTAGCCATTGATACATGCGGTGGTACACAGAGATCGATGCCAGGCGGAAAGATATAATGAGCAAATTCAACCATACATACCTGCCTCACATATTTCGACCTAGCTTCTTTATTCAGTGCCACTGCAGAAGTTGCGCGTGGAATGTTTATTCCGGCTATTCTTTTACCTGTAATCGTAAACGGCTGGTCGCCCGAAAGCATGGTAATTACACAACGACATATTAGGATTTAACTTATCCCTTAAATATCTATGTGAGAGTATGAAATCGGCCTTTACACTCTGAGCTTTTACTTTGCCCCGCAATCAAAGCAGAAGTGGTCAGAATGTACTCATACTAAAGTTGCAGGTAACAATGTTAAAACTTGTCATATTGGCAATAAACAACTTCTCTTCAACTTTTGCGTATCACCTTCCGATTATTTTCTTGATTACTAGCTTAACGCATGTGAATGTAAGCTTGTAGAGGACCGTTACCTACTGAGTTCTAGTGATGGGGCAAAATGCAATCTTAAGCAAGAACACAAAATAGAGGAAAATCAATGCACTTGCGTGATAGTTCCTTCTTCAATCGATGATAGTCCGATGCCGACCAGAGATGCTAACATATAATCCGAGTAATGGATAGACGCGGCAGCAGCACAATCACAAGCAGCAGCAAAACCGAAAGCAGCACGACGCGAGCGCGTAGAAAAAGTTATATTCAAAAGTTGTGAATTTAAACAAATGGTACAAGGTGATCGGTAACGGAAATGATAAAAACAAAGATAGATTACCGTGTAATCACAACCACTACAGAACTCCCCCCTAGAGCTTGCGCTGGTAGGCAAAGCTCGATATGTCGTTCATGGAACGTATTGTGCTAGTTTAGAGGGGAATGAAACAACACGACCTGAACGTGTGTGGATAGGATCGCTTGTTGGGGGGCACAGGGATTCCGGGGTTTGGGAATCGGTTATGCGTTTGTCATTGGGCAACGGCCCAGTTACAGGAGGGTTGTGAGTAGTAGTGGTTGATTCTGTACCATCTGATGTTGGCTCGACGTATGCGGGTTTAAGACGGTCGATGCTCACAGACTCCTTGGATCCATTCTTATCCAGGACGAAGTATTTCGGTTTCCGCGACAAGACCTTGAATGGACCTTCATAAGGCGGTGTCAAAGGTCTTCGAACCGCATCGATTCGGATAAAGACGAATGGACAAGTGTGTAAGTCTGGATGTATACGCTGCTCGCGCGTGCTTAGTCGAGGTGGAGTCGGTTTAATGGATCGGAAATGGTGCTTAAGGCGTTCAGCGTAGGACGTAGGATTCAGTTCACCGGTGATTCGGGAGTCTAGTATCATCTCGCCTGGGAGTCTGAGCGTTGTGCCAAAGACAAGTTCGGCTGGGCAGCATCCGATATCTTCTTTGACTGTATTGCGAATACCAAGAAGAATAGCTGGAAGGCGTTCAGACCAACGAGCATCAGGCGAACTAGCTGTAATGGCAGCTTTTAGTTGTCGATGAAATCGTTCGACAAGGCCATTGGCAGCAGGATGATATGCAGTCGTCTGGAAATGAGTACAACCGAGCAGTCGACTCAAATCACGGAAAAGCGTGGAACTGAATTGAGATCCTCTGTCAGTAGTGACAGTGGCTGGCACACCAAAGAATGAAATCCACGATTCAACGAAAGCACGTGCAACAGTTTCAGAGGATATATCGCGTAAGGGAATTGCTTGGGGAAAACGAGTAAATCTATCAACACAAGTCAACAGATAAGTGAAACCGTTAGAAGCTGGTAACGGTCCTACTACATCAAGATGTATGTGTTTGAAACGGGCTTCGGGGAGTGAAAAAGTACCGGGAGTTGTAACAGTGTGTCTGTGAATCTTGCTTGTTTGACAACTAAGACAGGTTTTGGCCCATTGTCGGATGTCTGTGCGCATATTGGGCCAGAGGTAACGGTCGGTAATTAGCTTCACCGTAGATCGAATACTGGGGTGCGATAATCCATGAAGATGGTCAAAGACCACTCGCCGGTAGGACTGTGGAACAAACGGTCTAGGTTTACCGGTGGAAATATCGCAGTAGATTCTGGCGTCAGAATTGAGCACAGGCAATTGCACGAGTTTTAACGTAGTGTTTGATCGAAGCTGTGTTAATTCTGGGTCATTGGCTTGGGCAACAGACATTTGTTCTAGATCAATGGGTGAGCGTGAAAACTGATGGATGTGAGCACGGGATAATGCGTCGGCGACAAGGTTGTTAGGACCGTCAATATAGCGAATATCAACACAAAATTGGGATAGATAATCAAGATGTCGAGTCTCTCTAGGAGAGTAACGGTCAGAAGTTGCACGAAAAGCATACACAAGTGGCTTATGATCTGTCAAGAGGATAAAACGTCGACCCTCAAGAATGTGACGAAAATGCTTTACGGCCAGGTACATGGCAAGGAGCTCTCGACCGAACGTACTGTACCTGGTCTGGGCAGGTTGAAGCTTCCGTGAGAAGAAAGACAAGGGTTGAATTTCCTTATCCACTAGCTGCTGCAATACGGCACCAACGGCGGATTGTGAAGCGTCTGTCTTGAGAATGAGAGTGGCGCTGTCGTCCGTTCTCAAGTAAGCGAGTGAAGTAACTTGGCTCAGCTTTTGCTTGACGGCGTTAAACGCTGCTTCGGCATCTGGAGTGAAGGTGAACTTTTTTGGATTACCTTTGAGCAAATCGGTTAAAGGTTGAAGGATTGCAGCACAGCCATGTATAAACCGTCCGTAGTAGTTAACCATGCCGAGGAAACGGCGCAGGTTTTTAACGGATTGTGGTAATGGATAATCCAGTATGGCTTGCGTTTTATCCGTCAAGGGGCTAATCCCGTTGGCGTCAATTCTGTGACCTAGGAAGTCGATGGAAGCTTGGCCAAATACGCATTTGTCAGGATTAATGGTGATGCCATGATGTGCAAAACGTTCGAAAAGTGTTCGTAGATGAATTAAGTGTTCGTCGGCAGAATCACTTGCAACTAAAACGTCATCAATGTAAACAAAGACGAAGTCAAGCCCACGGAGAACTTGGTCCATGAAGCGTTGGAAGGATTGCGCGGCATTTCGGAGACCGAATGGCATACGGAGAAACTCATACAAGCCAAAAGGGGTGGTCACTGCCGTTTTTGCAATATCTTCCGGGGCCATGGGAATTTGATGATACGCTCTGACAAGGTCAATCTTAGAAAAGATGGATTTCCCGAACAATCCCAGTGAAAAGTCATGAATATGAGGGATAGGGTACCTGTCAGGAATCGTAACGGCGTTAAGTGCCCGGTAGTCACCGCATGGACGCCAATCACCGGACTTTTTGGCTACCAGATGAAGCGGGGAGGCCCAACAACTATTGGATGGGCGAATGATTCCGAGGTTCAGCATGTGCTCGAATTCACGTTTAGCCGCTTGGAGCTTGTCGGGTGGAAGACGTCTCGGTTTGGCTGACACAGGTGGACCTGTGGTGACGATATGGTGACGAACCTCGTGTTTGGGCTCTGTAGAGTCGGTATTAGAATGGACCAAAGCAGGGAATTGCTGAAGCAATGCTGAATATGGTGTAGTGCCTGGTATGAGTACGCGAAGTCCAACAGAAGTGACTGGGGCGAGATGGCAAGGGACAGTGAGCGAAGTGTTGTCATCCCGTAACTTCCTGCAACGTAGATCGACGACAAGGCCGAATTTGCTAAGGAAGTCGATGCCAATTATGGGTTTCTGGACGTCTGCGATGGTGAAGATAAAAGGAAATACGCGCCGTAACCCAAGGCTTAGGTGCAAAAGCTTCTGGCCGTAGGTTGCGATCTTAGTCTGGTTAGCCGCCTGTAACGTAAGTCCGGCTTGTTGCAGAGGGCGTTTTTCCAAAGATCGTGGTATAACGCTGATTTCTGCGCCCGTATCGACCAAAAAGTGAAGTTTAGTCGTGGAATCAAATACGTACAGGAGGCGACTGATAAGTTGGCCAGCGGCAGCCGTCGCCATTACTGGCTGGCTTCGACGTTTCCCGATTTGGAAGTAGCAAAAGCCTTTGGGTGAGTGCACCCTGGGCGGCAGTTTCGTGCAGCATTACCAAACCGGTTATGGAAGTAGCAATAGGCGCGCGATGATCGTCTGCGAGAGTTGCTGCGAGGCCTGCTTGTGGAAGAGGATCTTTGGTACGGTGTTCGAGCGCGGGCTAGGTGGGAAATGCTGAGTTCTAACTTGGAGAGCCTCTCGCTAAGGGAGTCGAGTGTGGCAGTCCCTGAAGTGCTCGTCGTGGACGCCTCAACCACTTGATTCACGGCGTTTTTAAAGAAATTTTCGTGTACCTTGTCGGCCGCTTCCGCCAGCTTAGTCAGTGGAACGTCCTCAGCCATTACAGCTAGTATCGCCGTCGTGTTAGCGGGAAGACACTTAAGCCAGAGTTGGCGAAGGATGGAATCATCCAAGGTTGCTGAACCGACTAGTGATCGCATATGTCGCAGGAGCTGAGACGGTGTACGATCACCAAGCTCGACGCCGGAGAGTAGCTGTTGGAGGCGTGACTCGTCGGATGAGGTAGTGCGTTTTAAGATGGCTGCCTTAAGTATATCATAAGGTGAGTCAGTCGGCATAGGATCGAGGATATCAATGACCTCTGAAGCCACGTGTGTAGGTAAATGAGCAGTAACGTAAGAAAACATTGTGGATTGCGAGGTAATCTTACGAAAACGAAAGATAGATTCAACTTGAATAAACCAGACACGTGGGTTCGACACATCGAAGGATGGCAAAGAAAATGTAACGGAGTTTTCGGATAGCTGTTCACAAGAAGGTTGAACATACATAATGAAGAAAAAAAAGGTATTCAAAAAAATACGGGGTCACCAATTATGTAGAGGACCGTTACCTACTGAGTTCTAGTGATGGGGCAAAATGCAATCTTAAGCAAGAACACAAAATAGAGGAAAATCAATGCACTTGCGTGATAGTTCCTTCTTCAATCGATGATAGTCCGATGCCGACCAGAGATGCTAACATATAATCCGAGTAATGGATAGACGCGGCAGCAGCACAATCACAAGCAGCAGCAAAACCGAAAGCAGCACGACGCGAGCGCGTAGAAAAAGTTATATTCAAAAGTTGTGAATTTAAACAAATGGTACAAGGTGATCGGTAACGGAAATGATAAAAACAAAGATAGATTACCGTGTAATCACAACCACTACAAGCTCCCGGCCATAATTCTATCGCTTTTCGCTGGCGTACGTGTAACTATGGACAGCTTATTATGTAGTTAGACAAACAATACATGTTTTATTTACTAATTTGACGAGTCTGTGATGACAGCTCGTTATTTTTGACCCAATGTGTGTCTACTTCAGCTGGCCTTGGAAATGACAAAATGAAATATTGCATCCAAACCAATAACATTTGGGTCGGTTTCACGGTTGTAACTGTTAATATATGTTACGTTTTCATATATTCTCACTCAACAGATCTCATTCATCATTCCTTTTACAGGAAGCACAAAGATATCTCACTGTCTATTTCGGTCACTAGAAAGTAGAGGTATATCCAGTTTATAGGTAAAATCACATGGTGTTGGGTGTCAGAAATCATTAGTTCTGTCCTCTGCATAGTACCACTTCAATTTTCAATGGTTAGCGGATAGTTAATTAAGTTAAACAATTACACTTATGCCTTTAATTAAGACACCATGTTACATCAACTAAAACATAAGCTCAATTATGTTGATCCACATGTACAGCGCCAATATTTTCCGGAACAGCAGGCCATTCCAACTAAACTTTGGTAATGCAACCATCACTTTCTAAGAATATGACCGTCTTGTCTCCAGTCTGACAGTATCTCCTTCCTGAAAAGTAGACAAATGGCTCACTTAAATGAAATTTTGTGAACTTATAATTGTCTTACAAAATGTACCACTGTTATCATACTCTAGTTTCTAAACATACTTAAAAGCAGTGATCAGGCAAATCAATGTAAGGCACAAAAGGAAAACGCAAACGGAGTTCGTCACAAAATAGCTTATTTCTGCAAGACCAAGGAGAGAAATATTGAGTACATGAAATATTCATGGTGCAAGCATAACTGAGTACGCACATCAAAACCTATCGTTTTGGGACTTTGTGCGTGTATGGCAGTTCATGAATATCTATAAAATTGCGTAAACATTAAGGTAAATACATCTTCCGACGTTGAATGTGTTTGGTCTTTCCCCATAAACGTTGGCTAATGTGCCATGGGGCATAAATATTAGGCATATATATGAGAAGCGTGAGAGCTAACTACATAACGCAGTACCTACTCCGACAGAGTTAAATGACGGCTGAAGTTCATGTTATGCCTGTTATTTATAGTAGAAACCTCACGGAACTCGGTCATTGGGTTCTATGCCTAACACTGTCTTAGCAAGCGTAGATTTTATTTATGCTAATGGCCTCCACCTTCCTCTTGTCGATAAGTAATAAATTTAGACTAGTATTAACGACGAAGTCGATGATGTTTTTAAGAAACAAAAAAGGCGACCAACTCGGTACTAATTTCACATTTATTCGTTGGGGTGTAGGACGAAATTCCGAACGGACGTGATCGTGAGTTTGATCAGTTTAATTCATTACATGTGGTTAATTTTTAGACAGTGCAAAACCATTCCCTGTAGGAATTTGCGTTTAACACTAGACGCAGCACACTGAGTGTTGAGTGGTCTATTTTAGGTATATCGGTTTAAGTTTACTGCCTTGGTTTAGTGAAAATACTTCAGTTGCCCAGTAGAGAGGCAAAAGTAGTGGCGACGAAACACGTTAGCAATCAAAGTCCACAGTGTTGTGTGAATTTGCTCACTCATGCTTCGTCCGTTACAGCAATACACTTTTCCCCTGACGCGCTATCCGGCCCCATTACCAATTAACCACGTCAAAGTCCAAACATAGTAAAAGAAACGTACGTAGTTGCATTTTAAACTTAGCGTCTATCGCTCCTTTGACAGAAAGCGTTCCGTTACACGCGGATCATGGGGTTCATGCCCTTTGGATTTCCGAATATGATTATGACTTATATCGAGTAAATTTATCATTAATGTATCAAGGGATTCCTTAACATAAATTTACCTGGGATTCTGAAGACCAACTTCAGGAGCGTGGAAGCAACCACTCGAGCTAGGTGACATGCTGTGAAGGGCGTTCTTAACTATTTCGCGTATAAATATGTTTGCCCGGAGTTAGAATGTAAGTGAAATGCGGTCCCTTGGTCCACCAATAATTTCAGGATTAATGTTCCGTTAAGCTAGAGGCAATAAAACGCTGAAGTACACAAGATGTTGGGGGATTGTCCCTTCCCTAACAACTTCGGCTAAAACTTAATTATTGCCGACAACCGCGCAGCACACAATAGAGCGTCAGATTTTCCAATACTCCTGACAAGCACGCCAACACCTAATGAAACGGTGGTAACCGTTGATCATAACTCAAGTTTGAAAGGCGAACTGAAGGCGTGCGCGGCATTTCTAGGCTGTGCAGCCCCACGGCGCAAGCCACTGGCTGTCCCGGCCTTACCAGCCAGCCCGGTCGCAAGCTTTGAACACAGATAAAGGTTGAAATGTGCACTGAGCGCGTGCGCAGGCTTGCAAGTCTCGCCTGTTCCGGAATGATCGGAGGTACATCGCATAACTTCAAAATTTCTCACTCCAAACAAATTTCTAATGCTCTGGCCACCGCAGATAAAAATTAACGGTGCCGAGGATGGCAAAGGGGACTGCAGCGACGGTGAATACCCAAAGGAACGTGCGCCGAAGACCTAGGTCCAGGGTAAGTGACCGATGACCATAGGTGGCTATTGGCGTGCCATTGGCGGCACTGAGGCTTGTCGACGGAGAAGTGGTAGGCTCACCTGGCATAGGGGGAATGACGCTGACGTCCGCCCCGGTATCAACTAAGAACTGGGTATCGGAGCCATAATCCCTAACGTAGATGAGACGACTTGGAGCTTTGCCGACACCGTTAGTCGCCATTACGGGCCGGCGTGGAAGTTTCCCTGCTTGGCGGCGGAAAAACTGCATGGTTGCTGGAACTTGCGGGCTTTGTTACCGAAACGCGTGTGGTAAAAGCAAAAGCCAGAATTGTTAGGCTTCGTGCGGCGAGTTGATGAGTTAGAGAGGCTGCGCTGCTTACGATCTAGGGTGAGTTTCTTGACTTGGCGTTGTAATGACGCTATTTGCGATGATACCGCGTCGATTGCCGGCGGCTCACTAGCCGCGTAAGTCGCCGGGGCTGTGACGGGGCTAAGTCGAGTGAACGTCCTAGATTCGTTCGCTGGCTGATGTCGTTCCATGACACGATCTGCTAGTTCTGCAACTGCTGTGAGAGGGCAGGGCGCTTGCCACGGCAAGGAAGGCTTGTGTGCTTTCTGGGAGACGTTGCATCCATATTTCGCGGAGAATACCTTCATGCATGCTGGATGTGCCTAGGAGCTGTTGCATCTGTCGCAACAAGGCTGAAGGCATCCTGTCCCCTAGTTTCCGATCCTTAAACAGTTGCTGCAGTCGCACCTTGTCAGAGGGCGTGATTCTCTGAATGATCGCCTGCTTTAAAGTATCATACTTCGAATCGGGGGGCGGGCAAGCTATGATGTCCCTCACTTGGGAGGATACGCTTTGCGGAAGCCGGGACATAAGCTAATGATATTTAGAAGTATCAGATGAAATTTTACAATTGTAAAAAGTGGATTCTAAATGTGCAAACCATAACAACGGGTCATTCTCCCAAAAAGGTGGGGAGGCTAGCTCTACGGCACTAACCACGTACGTAGATGGTTTATCATCAGGACTATTCATCGTGAGAAATGAATAAGTATGTGCGGCAAATAATAAAACAAAACGATAGCGATTAATGAATCAGAAAAGCACTGGAACGAGCTCACCAAAATGAAAATTCACAATGGCGGACGGCGTGTTCCTGACAGGGGGTCACCAATTGTTGGGCGGAACCTGGGATACTAGTCGGTATGCGATGACACGTAAGACGTGTCAAATACGACAGTAAAGAAGTCGGAGGAGACTGAACCCAACGTGTATTGTGCAGGCTACAAGAATAGGAAGCGAATCAGAGAGGGCGAGAAACGTGCAGCGAGGAACTCACCAAAACTGTTTGTGACAACGGATGTGCAGTCAGTTAAACAAATGGACGTTTCGAAGGTTAAAACAACCATAAAATCCAATGTTACAAGATACTGAAAGAGCATGTTTTCTGTTGCACTACAAGGTGTATATTTGCACTGCTGAGGGCAAAAGTCTGGTCATTTAGGGAGTTACAACCCACACGACGGCACATGCTTTTGCTGCTCGCGCGGAAGGGATGCATATTCCGTCAACGCTACGCGGTAATCGATTACAGACTGGTAAGTGCGTACTACAACCGTGACGAATTATTCGTCACCCATGGCGCGCTGAAAATCACTTGTGCCGACAGAAATTACGGTTAAAAAGAAAGCTTTCACACATTAAACAGCGCCGATCATTATTTAGACTATTAGTTAAAAATATGCATGGACATATAAAGACATTTATCTTCATCTACTTTTGCTTCTCCGCGAGTGGTCAAAAGAACGCTTCAGTGGGAGGGCTCACTGTACATATGTTTGGATATAATGATAATTTCTAGGTACAATAATGCCGCATAAGTTTCATATGATTTTACAAAATCTTCGCTGTTAAAGAAGCCACTTAATTATGTCTGCTATGATGTATCAACTGCTATGAAACTCACAAACCTCAAGTGTTACTTATTTCATTATATCAATAATGCGTTTCACAGTGAAATTCCGAGGC